GGGCTGGACATTATTTTGTGGGAATATTTAGACTGATGGTCTAAACATCCCGGCCCCCTTGCGATAAGCAAATCCAAGAATTTGGACGCGTTTCAGCCACCAAGCTCTCTCTCTTGATCTTATATAGTAAAAGGTAAAGTTTTTTTTTTTTTCGAAAAAACATTTTTGTTCAGCATCAGGTAACCACTGCGACAGTCTTCGCTATCAGCTTCGTCTTTCTTCCTAAATTGCTATAAAAAAAGGGGGGAGAGTTACAGGTACAATAGTGGTTACAATTCAATGCACTTTATTGAAAAAATAATACTTCAGATAAAAATAACGCAAATTCAAGAAAAAAAAGAAAAAAACTAACAATTAATTGTACTTCAAGCTCTGCATATGCCCGAGAGAACCCATCCAAAGATTGTACTCTGGGCTAAAAGAGGTCCGAAGGATGTGGGCAGTGTCCCCGGCAGGATAATGTCCGCGTAGACGTCCGTACCGAGTACTAAACGGATCGGTGATGAGCCGTAAAAGTTTGGGTCCGCCAGTCGGATGTGGGCATATGGCTCAGCTATTGCGGGGTCTACACTGCTGGATGGACAAATGCGGTTGAAGTGCGGCGACATAACGGCATGAGTTGCGATTCGGTTGTTTTTCCCATGCTTTCCCCTGAGTCGCAAAAGGCAGCCCCTTTCTCCGCCCATGCGTGTTTCATCCAAATTCAACTCTCGGGCTAAGTCAGATGAAATGATGGTTCGGTTGGAGCATACGTCGATCAGGGCACGAACTAGATGTAGCCGCGAGACCGAGTCGCCAGTCCATCTTCCCTGCGTATGCGCCGTGAGGACTTGCGGTTGGATCTACGCGGGCGAAAAGGCCTAGTTTCCGCTCCGCGCATCCGGTTTCGCTCATGTTGCAACAGGGGTCGGAAAGTCCTAGTTTCCGATCCCCCTTCGGTGAGAGCGCGGAGAGGCCGAGTCTCCGCTGCTGGCTCTATTGGTCCGCTTTCCTCGGCTTCTGGGCGGAAAGGCCTCGTTTCCCTTCCAGAATCGGACGCAAGTATCGAGAGCGCATCGTCGGAACAGCCTTCTTCTTCCTCCGCCACCTGTTGTGCCCACGATTTGCTAGGCGTACTTTCGGGCTCGTCCAAATGCAGCGTCGAGTGATGTTTTTCACCGCATCGGCGGCATCTTCCTTCGCTCGTGCAGTTTTTGAGCTGGTGCGTCATGGCGAGGCAATTAGCGCAAAAGCGGCCTAGTAGTGCTTCCCGTAATCTCTCCTCAGGGGATTTTGCGCGATAGACTGGGCAGAGTCTAATGGGGTGATTCGCAAAGCATAGACGGCACGGCTGCGGATAGCGCTCGCTGCATAGTTCGGCCTTCTTCCTCAAAGCAGCGAAGTAAGGCATGTTTTCTTCTGAAATGATGTCGGAGTTTCGTATATATATGTATATATTTAGATATATTGTTGGGTGGCGAGCGTATCTGCATTTATTAGTCAAGTGGGTGGCATAAAGTTTCGCTTATGCACAACAACTTCGTTCGGAGAGTGTGAATACGGCATTATATATCCCTAAGATTCATTTGTGTAACCATGCTATAATGTAGGTAAATTACCTACTCAAATTGTACTGTGGATCGTATTCCTCTAAAGCTGCGTTTACACGATCAATCTTTTTTTTTTTTTCAAAACTAGCAAATTGCCCAAGCAATTTGCCGAATCAGGGTTTTATTTTTGGCCATAAATCGTGGAAAGTGCCCACCGCCACTAATTTTGGAAGTATTATTTAAATTTTTATTTCATCTCTCCATTAATGTTATATGCTTATCTTGCTTTACCGCCTTTTGGACCGGTTTACCGCCAACAATGGGGCCTGCCCCCCAACAAGGTTAACTACCTACTCGGGGTGATTTTATTATTCATATCTTTGAAACCTTTGTATTCTACATTGAAATATGTTAAATATCTATAAAGAATCAGTGCTTTGCTATAACTTTATTTCAATGCTTTTTTTTTTTGATGAAAAAGTATTTTAATGTAAGCATGGCCAGTAATTAACAATTGAATTACAAAAATGATCGTTAGTATGGTCCACCCGTGTTGATACAGCGAACTATTGGAAAGTTGTCCATCATTGTTCGCTGCCTATGAGGTCCTTTATGTGGAACTTTTGTATCCACATAGATTCCACTAAAGGTTGTTGAAGTTTTCCATTGACAAAGGTTGGGTTATTTGTGAATGGACATGCGGTGCTTATGTAAGCTTGCTGAAGAGGTTTCGTGAGTATATAGTATGCATATGTTTCAATACTTGCTTCCTCACATTATTTATAATCATTTAATTTCAGATATTGCCGCCTCTTCCCGCGTATGGTCAGGAGATAGGCAAATAGTGACGCAAATAAACAAATAAGCACTATTTTAATCTGAATATCGTACTGCAAGAAAACGCACCATGGTTTGTACTATCCTATGTATATGCACACGCTTAACCTAGTTGTAGGAAAACGGTGCGGCCTACAGAATTCGACGGGGCTTTTCGGTTACGCCTTTTTCTTGCAGAAAAGAATATGCGCGTAAGTTGTATTGTTTTACAGTGAGGGAAAATAGGAAACAAGCGCAACTACTATAAAATGGCACAGATAAATGGTGGAGTGGAAGTGTGTCACATAACAGAACGGAATAATTGCATTTTCGAACATTGTTTATACATTTTTATGGTTTTTGACTGCATAGTTTTGTTGATGTGCACTTTATTATGAGAACAGCAAATACCAGTGAGATTTATTTGGACTTCAAAATTAGCCAGAACTTGGCGTAACAGAGTGGTTCACTTTTTTACTCTTACAAAGCCCTAACACTTGCTAAAACTACGCGTAGGAAAATGTGGTGTACCCATTTCTGCTTCTCTAACGTACTGTCGTTTATAAACTTTTGATGTCACAAACAATAATATTTTTAACTTCCGCACACTTTGACTGCTTACTCAGGCACTTCTTATGTGCGCCTAATTCTTTTGTGTGTAAATTGACCCTCTTAATACCTTCGTAGCTGCAAACAAATGAGGTAAGCCACCACCCCAATTTGCCAATTAAGCCAATTGTCAACTGCCTATAACCATATGGATTAGAATTAATTTATTATGTTCAATAAATATGGGCATCCGCTATACATATGGTGCGCAAAGGAATGTCCCGCTGTAAAGTCAACAGTGGCCTATTAAATTCAATAAGAGTTGCTCAAGAGGAATGGACTCAGCGCACATTACAATGTTTATTGCCTTATTTCTTTTTAATTTAATTAGGATATACAAAGTTGCTGCTCATGATGGCTACCGCGATTAACTTAATAAACTAAACCTTAATTAACAATAGCGGTTTGTGTGCTACTTGCTCCTTGACTTTCACCTGGCTGCCAACAGCCTAACTAAACGTCAACAAAACGCCCAACTTTAAATTTTTATGGAATTGGTATACATTTTCCCGCAGATATACCTATATCTAACCATTTGGTTTAATAAAGGTATACTGTTGAATATGTAAATTGTAATTGAATGCAAATTGTGGCAAGTATGTAGTCCATTCCTTCAGTATTTCAATTTGTTTGGTAGTCGTTTTACATTGCCCATTCTCGCTTCGTTACCTGGCGTTGTAAAGTCGCTTCGACCAGCGGTGGATGCTTTCGAAATCGCACCGTACGAACGATTATCCATCGCGCTGATCATTTTAGCCACGGCACAACTTTATTTAGGGCGCTATTTTACAATTTAATTAATTATTTTCATTATGAATATGCACAATTTTCACACACACAAAAAAACACAAATCGGATTTTTGCTTTTCGTTGCTGTTTGGACGCGTTTTGTGTTCTTTTGGGCATCAATTTTATACAGAGAAACATCGTAGAAAAATGCATTAATATAGCAAATATTGAGCCAATAAACGATTATTTAATTTTAAAACTAAAGGGCCGTCTTCTCGCGTCGACGGCGGTGAATGAGCGAAAAACATGCATAAAATGACCGAAGACAATCGGAATTTTAATAATTGAGTTTTCTCAGCATTCTTGGTCTTAAGCAACGGCACTTTAAAATCACACCGAGTTGTATAAGCGTTGAAGAACTGATCGACATTGACAAATCCAAGATTATATTTTGTCACTATTTTGACAGTCATACCTGAATATATTTTTAATTTCTGTAGAGCTTTCTTTTCCCTTGGTGTATTGAAACATATTCATGTAAAGTAGAAGGATATCAAATCTTGATCGCATTGTTTCTATTAAGAAAATTTTCTTTTTGCAATAATGGCGACTGCGTGATGTTCTCACTAGGGATCACATGACGGTGGCTTTCTTTGGGCGCCCATCGCAAGAGGTCTGTAATTAATGCTACGCTACGTGAGAAATTCTCCCTAGTGCTGTTAGACAAACAACCAACTGCTTTTGCCACGTAGAAGGCAGTGGTGGTCAAGAAGCATATTTGATGAAGGAAGGTTCTGATGGAAAACTCAAAGTGGTGAGCATGAAACAACTGGCAAATGCGCTATGCCAGGAGAAACTTAGTAAAAGTTCATTAGTTCGCATATTTTGGATAAGAGGGCGTGGCATTTTAGTGCTTGACGATGTTGTCTTTGTTGACTCCGCTGGCGTTGATGTCTCTGTTACCTTGGATGACGATTGCTTTTGCGACTGATCCAGCTATTCTCATAACTCCTTCACCTCCGATACACGCACATCGTTACATACGTGGTCATTGTTTTGTGTGGTCACAAAGCAAAAAAGGTAATACACGAACCAGTGTGCATGACTTGAAAATTAAAGGCAAAGCGCTCATGCTGTGCTAGCAAGTGGAAAGATCCCTCCACGAACTGTCTGACCTCATCGATGGTGAGCTTGGCACATATCAGCGCGCAGCTACCTGGGTGCTATGCGAACTGATGACAGTCATCGATAAATTGCCGGAATTTTAACACGCGATTTAAACAAAATAAATGCGTTAGCATGCTACTATTGGCCCTAAAAACAGGACGAAAAAATGCACAGCGGTATATTTTCTCAAACGTCCCTACAAAAGGTTGGTATCCCCTTCGGCATTAATGGCCATGTTCTTGAATAACTTGAAGATAATTTCATTAACATACCTACCAGAAATTTCCTAGCGGCAACGTGGAAAAAAAACGATTGCATTGGATTGTACGGTTATTGGTATTGAATTTATCCATGTTTACCAAAGATGTTAACGAACATTTCCGTCACTTCAGGTAAATTTTACGGAGATTCCTGCTGCCAGATAGCGGTCTGACAAAACTCAAACGACAGAAGGTTCCCCCTGCGTTCATCGATGGATTCTTAAATGGTTTGCGCTTGCCAACTAATCTACTGAAAGATTTTTTAGTTCGCAGTGAGTTGTCTTTTATTTCGGCTTATTTATACGTTTATTTCCTATTACTTGAGCCTCATTGTAATACCTGGAGGAGGATAAAGTTCTGACAGTTGTCGCTAAAAAAAATATCCTGCCGTTCATGGTGATACGTGAGCAGGATTTTATTAATTTTTCGCTTGCGTTGAGGACTAAATACTATTCTTTATGAATTCGTCAGTGAAACGTCCATATTAGGGACTGTCTTGCTAGATGTCCCGATTTGCAGCGACTCATGATAAGGGCTTAAAATAGGTATGTATAGCAACAAATAGTCAGTAGTTAATTGTACCTGAACCTGCAAACTTACTGGGGCAGAGTATAATAACGCAAAAAATTTGCAATTCAGAGTGTAAAAACAAGAGGGAGCTACAAAGATATTTTTAATAGCAGAAAATAACTAAGCGTAAACAAGAGTCAAAATTAGTGGAAATCAAAATAATAATGACGTACTGGATTACGTAAATGTTTGTGAGTAAAGAAAAGGGTTTAACTGATTTGTTCGTTGTGTAATATTTACAGCAGGAGTGGCAAAACAGTGCAAGGACTGCTTACTTGCAAGTTTTATGTTCGCCAACTTGTTCTGCCAGTTTATTATTATTATTATTATTTTTTTTTTAATTTACGCTCGATTTTGCTTTTACACTCTCGCTGCAATTTTACTGGAAAAGCTGCTATACACCATTGATATTACGTATATACGCACATACGTATATATGTACATACTTATATACGTATGTGACCAAAACTGGGCATTTTATTAAGCAATGTCATTATAGTTACAAGATAATTTTCAGTCTTCGGGGATTGTATAGATTGTCTGATGGGTGCTGAGATCTTACGATGGTCGGTTCTTTGTTACCAGATCGGGCTTTGGGAATACAGCCAAGAACCATCACTTCAATTTTACTACAAACACGATTACTTTTAATATGATTCTGGGCTAAAGTTGATTATAGGCGTGGAATCCCTCCTAATGCATGGAAGTGGAATTTTGGTGCGATGAGGAAGTGGAATCCACGCGGGATTATGGATCAACGGAGAGTGTGGTTTACGAAGTGCTTGCTGGCTCCTCGTTTTCGTCATTTTGGGATGGAAGTAGGACCAGTTTGGCCAGCGGTCTCGTGATCTGCCCTTTCTCCGTGATGATGTCAACTACGCGTACTCGATCGTCGGGACCAGGATGTAAGCTGCTTATTCGACCTAATCTCCACTCATTTGGTGGGAGGTTGTCTTCTTTGATGACAACGAGATCTCCTAATTTTATATTTTGCTGTGGATATTTCCACTTAATCCGCTTTTGCAGTTCGGATAAATATTCGGTTTTCCATCGTTTACAAAAAGTTTGGTGAAGGGCCTTTAGCTTCTGCCACCGATTTACTATCGAGGCAGGATTCTCGTGAACGTCGATTTCAGGTGGGGCTAGCAGGTGTCCACCGGTAAGAAAGTGACCTGGAGTGAGAGGCTCCAGGTCGGTAGGTTCATTCGAAGCGGGGCTCAATGGTCGTGAGTTGAGGCACGCCTCAATCCGACATAAAAGAGTACTGAACTCTTCGAATGTATATTTATGAACGGATGCAATCTTTTTAAAGTGGCTTTTAAAGCTTTTTACCCCCGCCTCCCATAAGCCGCCCATATGAGGAGCAGCGGCGGGTATGAAATGCCATGTGAGCATTTGATAATTGTATTTCGAAACTGCTTTTTCACGCGAATCTGCTAAAAAAGCCTTAAATTCAGATCGTAAAGATCGTGAAGCTCCGACGAAGTTTGTACCATTGTCGGAATATATGTTCCTCGGGCATCCTCTTCTGGCTACAAACCTGGCGAATGCAGCTAAAAATGATGGAGTGCTGAGGTCACTAGTTGCTTCCAAATGGATCGCTTTTGTCGTAAAACAGACAAAAAGGCAAACGTATCCTTTGGACATTCGACAACCTCGGCCGCTATAACTTTTGATGTCAAAGGGCCCTGAAAAATCTACACCTGTATTCGTAAACGCGCGCGAAAATGTGGTTCTCTCCTGAGGGAGAATTCCCATAAGCTGGGTTTGCGTACGTTTTTTGTATATCGTACAGACTTTGCAATTATGGATTGTGGATTTGATCAGATTTTTAACTCTGGGGATCCAATACTGAGTTCGGATAAGGCGAAGCATGAGTTGATTTTCCCCATGCAAAGAGACTTGGTGAATAAAGGACACTATTAGACGGGACAACCTGCAGTTATAAGGAATAATTATTGGATGCCGCTCGTTATACGCTAAGTCTTGAGACGCTCCAAGACGCCCACCAGCCCTAATAATGCCATCTTTATCTATGAACGGATTAAGCGGTAGGAGTTCACTCTTGGAGTCGATGGAGTTTCCTGCTTTAAGTTTCCTGTATTCTTCACTGTAATAGTTCTGTTGATATATTTTTATCAAGCGTTGTGTCGTTGCTTTAATTTCATGGGATGAAATTAAGCGTGACTTTTCTTGAAATGAAGCTTTCGTATTCCGATGCGTTCTTTGAGAGAATCTCATAACATATGATAATACTCTCAAAGCTCTCGGAAAATCTGAAAAACGGTCAAGAATATCGGTATAATTTACTTTGGTTGTATAAACGTGCGTTCTTTTTTCCTCAACTACTGTGCTGTAGTCTGTTTCCTGGGTGGGCCATTTTGGGTTATCTTCTTGTAACCAAGAAGGTCCCTGCCACCACAACGAATTGTTGACCAATTCATATGCTGGAAGTCCTCTGCTCGCTAAGTCTGCTGGATTTGATGCCGAATCCACATGCAGCCAATTCTTGTTTCCGACTTTCTCTACAATTTTTTGTGATTCTATGGGCAACGAAAGTTGACCATGAACACGGAGGCTTGCGAATCCAAGCGAGAACAATTGTGGAATCGGTCCACAGATGTATGTTGATATGCCCTAATTTGAGATTGTTGATTATTGAATCAACTATTTCCGCCAATAGTACCGCTCCGCAAAGTTCCAGTCGGGGTAGCGATATGGTTTTAACAGGAGCAACTCTGGTTTTTGCCAAAAGCAGGTTAATAAAAACTTTGCTATCTCTTTTGACACGCATATACACAGAGGCGGCATATGCTTTCTCCGACGCGTCACAGAATCCGTGTATTTGTATTTCATCCGTTGGAGAAAAGTATACCCATCGCGGTATACGAACCTTATCAATTTCGTTATAATGTTGGGTAAAATTCTGCCATCGGTCTAGAGTGGTCGAAGACACAGTCTCATCCCAATCTGTGCCTTCCAGCCAAATATTTTGCATAAGGATTTTGGCTACGATTATGATAGGCGCAAGCCACCCCAGCGGATCGAAGAATTTAGCAATGGCAGATAGTATCGCTCTTTTCGTAACAGCATCGCTTTTCTCCAATGGCCTTGCTATAAAATAGAAAAGATCCGTATGGGCATTCCATCTTATTCCAAGAGCCTTGACTGCGCTGGTATCTTCAAATGCCAAAAAATCTTCGCTAAGTAGATCTGTTTTTGGTATGCCATTAAGTATTTGCTCGCTATTGGCTGTCCACTTTCGAAGTGGAAAACCGGCTGATTGCAACACTTCCGATATCTCATCTCTGGCTTTTATTGCTGAATCGATAGTGTGTCCACCAGACAATACATCGTCGACATACATGCATTTTCGTAGTATGTTAGATGCTATTGGATGGGAGCTTTGCACATCGTCAGCTAATTGTAAAAGTGTCCTTATAGCCAGATAAGGAGCACAATTGATGCCGAACGTGACTGTCTTTAATTCGTACAGACTGATCGGGTCATTCGGGTTAGTGCGAAAAATAATCCTCTGATACTTAGTATGGTTGTTATGTACCAGAATTTGCCTATACATCTTCTCGATGTCACTGTTGAACACATATTTGTATAGTCTCCAACGGAGTATTAATATCGGAAGATCTGCCTGAAGTACTGGTCCTGGGAAAAGTACGTCATTAAGGCTGTTGCCATTCGCCGTTGGGCTTGAGGCATTGAACACCACGCGTACTTTCGTTGAAGTACTTTCTGCCTTTATAACAGCGTGGTGCGGCAGAAAATAATTATCAGACGAGTCTGCGGGTATGGGAATTGTTATTTTCGACATATGCCCAAGCGTTTCATATTCCGCTAGAACCCTATTGTATTCCTTTTGCAGGACGGGATCCTTGGCCAGCCGTGTCTCATTCCGGTAAAATTGAGAACATGCTCTTTTAAGGGATGGGCCTAGGGAAATATTTTCTGGAAAATCTTTCCTAAATGGTAGTGACACGATGTATTTTCCTTCATTATTTCGTATGGTTGTCTTCTGATACAGCTCCTCGCAGTACTTGTCGTCTTTATTAAGGCTCTTGTTCTTTGGAATCTCCTCAAGCTCCCAAAAGGCACTCAGTTGCTTGTCCAGACTAACTTCGCTGTAGTATGAGACGATATTCGTTCCTGGATTCGAGGTATCAGTTCGCCCTGTTATTATCCAGCCAAATACTGTTTCTTGGGCCAGAAGTGTGTTTAATATGTTTTTCTTAAGCCCGCTCAGAATAATCTGTGGATATATGTCGCCACCCAGAACAAGGTCTACGGGTTCATTGACGAAAAATCGTTTATCCGCTAGAATTAGATCTGGAAATGCTTGCTTAGTCACTGCACTAATGTGGCAAGTAGGAAGATTTCCAGTCAGTTGTGCTAGCACAAGCACAGAGGTATTTAAGCGGAACAACGGGTCAACAGGAGACCGCAATTCGATGTTGCACGCTTCTTTAACCTGCGCCGTAGTTGTATTAGTGATGCCCGAAACTTGGGCATGCATACGCTTTGACGGCAAGTGAATTCTGCGTTTTAGTTTTTCAGTAATGAAAGAACACTCTGAACCAGAATCAATAAGTGCTCTAGCGGAATAGTTCGTACCATTGAGATATATGTTGACGCGTGCTGTCCCTAATAACACACCTGTGTTTGTATTCGCATAGCAAGACTTCACGTTTTTACTTGTATGCTTGTTTGATTTTGTTGAATTGCGTTTGGCTTGGGCCTGATTGGATGTTGATGCAGAATTAGTCGCAGAATCTGAAGAGGTCCCAAGTGTCGTTGCCTTTGTTTGAGCTGTCTCAATATGAAGGAGCGTGTTGTGTCGCGAGTGGCACTTGATACAATTAAATGGGTTTGTGCATCTTGACACGGTATGTCCAGTACTAAGACAGTTCAGGCACCATTTTTTGCTTTTCAAAAAATCGATTCTATCAGCAGGTGTTTTGTTGAGGAATTGTGGACAGTTGCGTAACTTGTGCTCATTAGTTTGGCACATTTGGCAGGTGAACTTGCTCACGCTTGCCTGAAAGGCTCCTAGCCTTTTAGTGTTAGCTTCCTGGTGGTGCCGTGCGGGTTGGTGCTTTGGAGCTTTCACCGTTGTTGTACCCTTTAGTCCCGCTAGAGTTTCCAAAGTTTGGAATCTATTGGATAGGAACCTGTCCATATCCTCCCACTTTGGAATGTCAGTTTTCTGGTCTATGGTCTGTTCCCATAGGGCCAGTGTACTTTCTGGAAGCTTCGTTGAACACAAATA